CCATCCGTTCCACCCCCACCCCCACCCTGTCAGCAAAGCCAATGGACGCCTAGGTCCACGCGGCCGCGGCCGCGGCGATTGGACAGCGGCGCATGAAAGGGACGACGCCTTTTTATAGGGCACGAAGGGCCGGGGCGCCGCCAAAGTCCCCGGCGGTCGCACGGTGCGCTGCGACGCTCGCGTCTGCCGGGCCACGCCAGCCCCGTGCCCGCCGGCCCGCGCATGGCCCCGGCGTCGCTCGCCATGAACCTCTCTGGGCTCCGGCCGTGTGGCGGGGACCGCGCGGGGCCCGGCCCGCTGCCCTTCAGTGTAGAGGCGCTGCTGGAGGCGCAGCGCGGGCTGGGCGCCGAGCCCGCGGAGCCCCGAGAGGAGAGGGCGCGGGGCCCTGCGGAGCCCCGGGCCTGGTTCCCGCCGGCCGCCCGCTCTTCCTCCCCACGTAAGTGTCCTGTCGCACGGGCCTGGGCCGCGCGAGAGCCCGCCTGGCCCAGGCTCGAAGAACCAGGGCGGGAGGGACGCTGTCGCTTCGGAAAGCAGCTTCTAACCGCTCGGCCTGATCGCGAAGGAAGAAACCCGTCCACCCGAAGTCACCCGAAGCCTTGGGCGTGTGCAAGCCCTGCAGCCGCGTCCCACGCAACCACGCTGCCACCCTACTCTGGGGCGGAGTCGGCACCCCGCGGCCCCGCGGCCTCTTGGCGCCCCCTCCCCCAGTTGGTCCCCGCGATGGTGAACTTCCGTTTCGCGGAGTCCTAGCCTCTGCGCTCGCCGCTCAGTTCTTGCGGCGGCCTCAAGCCCACGCTTCCCGCTTTTCCAAGTGCGCAGAGTTCCCCTCCTCCCTGGGGTGCGGGTCCGCGGATTTGGGGAGCAGAGCCCGAGTCCAGAGCGGCGCGTCCCCCTACCCGCGCCGCCTCCCCGGGGCCTTGCTTCTCTTACCCCGGCGGCGTTCGGGGTCTCCTCTCCTCGGAGGGCCGCGGTCGCAGAGCCGGGAAGGGGACCTGGGAGTGTCGGAAAGGGAAGCGCCCTGCCAGCATCCGAGCGCCCGCGTTGTGCTCTTTCCTTCCAGGCGCCCCCAGCCCTCCACCCTGCACCCTCCGAAAACACAAGAACAACCGCAAGCCCCGGACGCCCTTCACTACCGCGCAGCTGCTGGCGCTGGAGCGCAAGTTCCGCCAGAAGCAGTACCTGTCCATCGCCGAGCGCGCCGAGTTCTCCAGCAGCCTGAGCCTCACCGAGACGCAGGTCAAGATCTGGTTTCAGAACCGCCGAGCCAAAGCCAAGCGGCTGCAGGAGGCCGAGCTGGAGAAGCTGAAGCTGGCGGCCAAGCCGCTGCTGCCCGCGTTCGCCGTGCCCTTGCCCCCGGGCGCCCACCTGCCCGGCTCCCCGGCCGCTTACGGCGGCGCTGCGGGCACCCTGCCGCAGGTGCCAGGACTCCTCGCCCGGCCCTTCACCGCCTACGGCGTGTATTACCTCTCCTAGGGCGGCCTGGACACACGCCCGCGGGCCGGCGGTGGCCTGGGGGGTCCGCCGGGGCAGGCGGGCGCAGGGTGGGGAGCTGCGCCCTGGCCGCGCCTCGGTCCTCACGGAGTCTCCCGCGCCGCGTCGGTCTTTTTATGTTTTGTTTTCCAGGGTTTTTTTGTTTTTGTTGATACGATGGTATAACTGATGCCTCGAGCCCATTTGCGGGTGTCTTACAAATATTTAAAACTATTTTAAAATCATGTTCCTACTAGACAAACTTTTCTGAAAGACTGAGGACGTAGTTTCATCCAGTTCCCACGGAATGGACCGCGGTAGAGCTTCCTGTTTTGTCCAAAGCAGCCGACAAAGCGTTTTGGAGTTCACTGTGCGGAGCGCCTCGCCCCCTCCCCCCGCCCGCAACCACCCGCTCTGAGAAGTCGCGGAATTGTTTGGGACAAAGAAGCGAGAACGACACTTTGGTGCCTGGACCCCAAAGTAAAAGACGCGAAATGCTTTCACCAACTGGTCTTGTTACCGTCGTGGCAGAATGGGAACTTCCACGCTTATTTTAAGGAATTTTTTCCGTATTTATTTATTTTTATTTACTAGAGAATGTTGGGGAGCCTGAGGCCAGATGCTGTCTATGGGAGCCTGTGTTAAGTGTAGTGTGTGTGCGGGGGTGTGTGGGGGGGTGAGTGTGTGTGTGGGGTGTGTGTGTGGGGGGAGTGTGTGTGGGAGTGTGGAGGGGGTGTCCACGCAGGGAGGCCGGCAGCGGAGGAGCGGACTGGGCGTGGAGCGCGACTGCTTGGCTCCGAGGGGCCCCCAACCCCGGGAGCGGCGCCGCGGGGTGGGGGGCGGGGGGGCGGAGCTGGGGAGGAAGAGTTGGGCGTCGTCCTGAGGACCGCGCTGCCTCTGCTGGTTCCTGGGCCCACCCTTCCGGAGGCCCCGCCCGCCGACCCCAGCCCCCCTACTCAGAGCTGGGACAGTCAAGGTCACAGGGGCAGGACCGGACCCGAAGGCGTTTCCGCTCCCAGCGCGCATGGGTCCGCTGGGTCGCGCGGCTTCAGCCCCTGCGCCTGCACCCCGCGTTCGAGCTGCAGCGAGGAAGGGGACCCTCAGCCTTTCTCTCCCTGGGATGGCCGCAGATCCCTGGCGCTGGGCCTCGTCCGGCAGCCCCGAGGGGAAGGCTGAGGTGCCGCCCCCAGGAAACGGCGCAGAAAAGCCCCAGGAGTCACGGTCATGTTGCACTAACTTGCCTGTTGGTAGCCATCGTCCCCCCTGCGCTTCCTGGAAAAATGAACATTCACGTGGAGTCGAGCGCGAAACTGATCCAGTTCTTGAAGTTCAAGCTGCGGGAAGCGAAGGCTGGTGACAGCAGGGCCAAGGGCGCAGCCGCCGTCCGTCCTCCCCAGGTGTGCCAGCGAGTCCCAAAGCTGTGCTGTTGAAACTCAGAGCCCAACTCCAGTCACGATCTTCACCGGGACGGAGCCACCCTGAAAATGTGCCCGAGAGGGCGGGCGGGCTGAGGCGCCTGAGAGCCACCACCGCCACAGCCGGCCACCGTTGTGCATCCTCGCAGACCGTGTCTGTTGCTTTTTAAAGCTACACAGTACTTGGATCCTCTTCTCACACCTGAGGTTCCTGAGAGGCGCCCACCGGGAAAGTCAGGGCCGGGCTTTACAGCCAGGACAATGCTCACTTTGCAAGTAGTCTGAGGACTGCCGACCTCCACTTCTGACCAAGACACCTATCTGGGAAGGCCCCCCCATCCAGGTTCCCCCACGGAGCTGGGCAACACCAGAGGGTGAGTGAGGCCTGCGGGGACCCCATACGTGCGAGCCCCCCAGCTGAGCGCTCCTGTGGTTGGGAAGTAAATTTGTCAAGACCAGGCCTCTCCCACCGTTCCAGAGGCCCCCCCCCTTCCTGTCCTCCTCTGACCGGGTCCCCGAACACCTTGGGCCAGACCCCGGACTCTGCCCACCTGCCGGCCACCTTCTTCAGCCAGCGTGTCTCCGAGTGGAAGATCTCCGAGCCCCCGAGGCTGCTGGGAACCACTAGAGCTATTCACTGATCACGACCTTTGTCAGAGGACAGATACGCCCAACGCCTGAGTCCTGCCCCCCCCCCCATCCAGGCCCTTTCATCTGCTGCTGGTGGATTTGGCGACCCTAGCCCTGTCCTTGCGAAACACTTGGACCAGGGCGACAGGACAGCAGTTCAGGGCAGACCACACCTCTTTGGGGGTGCAGGGGCCACCTGGTCTGGAAAGGAGTGGGCTGGGTTGTGCAATGATGGGCACTGGGTGACCCCTGGTAGGGCCAAAGTGGGGACAGCGGGACCGTGGAGGACCCCACAGAAGACACCTGCTAAGCCTGGGTTTCTCGTCAGTCTCATTAAATGAGTCACATAACAGATGGGCCTTGCAGGTGTGGGTGACCAGAATCCACCTGAGCCTGGGCTCCTATGTCAGTGTCCCATCAGAAAAGGCAGCAGGGCTAGGCTTGCAGGCTCCTTCACTCTGGTTCCTGGGTGAGGATTGGGTTGGGCCCCCAGGGTCCCTTCCTGGTACATAGTCAGCTCTCACTAGCCACGGTGCCTCCTGTACCAGCCTTGCCTCCTGTCCAAGGTGCTGTCTTAGCCCACACCAGACATGGGCCCCAGGCCATAGGTCCTGTGCCTGTGGACAACTCGAGGGAGGGGCTGGCTCAGGCCCGTTCAGTGTTTCTGGAGGAAGGTCAGATTCCTGAGACCTGACTAATCTTGTCTGGTCATAAAGAAGTTGTCTGGAGGTGAATTCCTCATGCAACTTCTAAAAATGCGACACTGCGGCGGCTTCTTAAGCTGGGTGGCAGGGCTGCGGTGTCTACTGTTGCCATCAGGAGGTGTGGTTTCGCAGATGCCTTTGTACGAATGAAGTTTATTTCATGACTAGAACGCACTACTGGGCAGAACTTCATCCCGATAGACTAAGGGCCATTTCTGCATCACCGATTCTTGGCTGGGCGCTTCGGCCCCAGTGCCTCCCGTCCCAAATCTGTGAGTACCCTCAGGAAGTGTTTTTGGACAACTGGGCCCACAGCGTGGTGATCCATAACACGGTCCAGATGGTCTGAAGTTCTGGTACTTTAACGTTTCAAGTGTTGTCCCCTTTACCTCAATATGCACTGTTTTTGCTGTTTCTAATATTCTATACTGTAGGCTGTATTTCCATCCATTAGACCATTAAAGTAACCATGTGGCATAAGCTGACATGGCCAGTGGTGCCAAGATGCCGAATTTCAGAGGTAGTAAAATGCGGGAGGGACGTGTCAGTGTGTGTTTTTTAAAACCACGCGGAACAGCTACATTATTCCTTTAAACATTCAGGGGAGGCTGTTTTCCAGGTTGTACTTGAAACTTTGTAGAATGAGGAACCACGTACTCACCCCTGCCCCAGTGAGCCGGTTTTCAAGTGGGGTGGTGAGCGCAGCACAGGGCAGGGGGTGGGGTGGGGGTGGGGTCAGGGCCCTAGGACCCTGCAGGAGGCAGGGAGGCCTCAGGGCAAGAGAGGACTGCCTTCTTACCTCTAAGCAATCCTTTGGGTTTTCTGTTAAATGGAGCTGAAACTGAACAGACACACACTTATGTCTTGTTCTTGTTTTTACTGAAGTGGGAGGGGGGATGCGCCTTGGGGCAATCAGTCCATGAGCCCTGTCCTCTCCGTCTTGGGTGGGCACTTGAGGCACACACTCCAGGGCTCCTCTCAGGTCTCCAACAGACGGTGGGAGCTGTAACTGCCCACAGAGGGGCCACTCCAACTCTGTGCCACTGGGGGGGCTTCACCTGCTTCCTTCTTTCGCTCTCCCCCACTCCCCACGCCTATTACTTAAGATCAGTTCTCCAAATAAACCACCTGGTGAAGCCCTAAGTTCGGGCTCAGCCTTTGCAGGGAGGCTGCTAAGACAATCAGACTGGCCTCAGTGCCCCGACTGTGGGGTACACTTCCGTCAGGAAACGCTCAGCATCTGGGTCACTCTTTAGCTGTCAGCACTCGCTGACACCATAACTCAGTTATCCCAAGATACTGTCCTTGGCCGCAAAGGTAGAAATTCTTTGTTTTTTATTTATTTATTACAGATATTTTTTTAATTGGGGAATCGGGGAAGGGGAACAGACAAATTGCTGTCCTTTTGTTCTTCAGTCTAGTTGTGGAGGATGTCGCTTCACTGACCCATGTTGGTATTATCATTGCGCTCTTCCCAGGTGAGGCAGATCAGTTGCCGGCCATTGGACAGCCGCTCACGAAAGCGCACGCCCACTGCCGGCCAGCCCCACTGCAGCCTACGCCGCCGCCAACGACTCACGGCAGCCCAGCTCCAGGTCGAGCTGTTGTTCACCATCTTAGCTGTAGAGGGCACAGCGTTACTGGACCTCATGTGAGATCCGAACCAGAGCCCTGCTGCTCAGAGCTGGCATCCCAAGCCAACTCCTAACCAACACGCCACTCGGCCATCCCCAGAAATTCATTTTTGCTTGATCTCTCAGTTTTCAAAATGATGTCTGTTCCTGTTATCCTCCCAAAGCTAGACAATGAGGTTTTAGTTTTAAAAGAATCATTATGAGCTCATGTACTTAAACATATTTGTTGTTTCGTTTGAGTGTAGTTATTATTAATGTTCCACCTGTGTGACCTTTGGCAGGGGACCTCATGATGCTGGCTCTTGAGTCCACTTGAAGCGTTCTTCAGTAATGTCCTTATTCCTGAAGTCTAACCCAGGCTTTCAGTAGAACTATTGACTTACCACATGTGGAATACACGTTATGACTTCATAGCAACACTTCCAATTCAAATAAAAACAGGGTTTTTATTCACTTCGTGGGTCTTTTTCCCACACCAAAGAATACCATTGTCAATGCCACTCGGCTCTCCTGGTACTTGGGACATCTGAGTGGTTTTCGGTTGTTAGCTATTAAAAATGTTACTGAGGGCCGGCCGAGTGGCGCGATGGTTAAGAACTCGCTTGGGATGCCAGAGGGCCCCAGTTTGGATCCCACATATGAGGGCCAGTGACACTGCCCTCTACAGCTAAGATGCTGAACAACAGCTCAACCTGGAGCTGGGCTGCCGTGAGTCGCTGGCGACGGCGTAGGCTGCAGTCCCTGTGGCAGTGGGTTGCCATGGGCTACCGTGTGTAGCCAGCAGCCAGCGTGAGCGGCCAGCAGCCGCAGTGAGCGGCCGTCCAGAAGCCGGCGACTGATCTGCCTCGCCCGGGAAGAGCGCAATGATGGTGCCAACTTGGGCCAGTGAAGCAGCGTCCTCCACAACTAGATTGAAGAACAAAACGACAGCAACTTGTCTGTTCCCCTTCCCCTAATTTCCCAGTACTGTTCCCAACCCCCCAATTACCCAATAAAAAAAAAAAACTTAAAAAAAAAAATGTTACTGAATAGACTGCCTTTTGAGTAGATCTTTTGAATTTTTGCCAGTGTTCAGGACACATCCCCAGAAGCAGGGCTGCTGGGTCAGGGTGAGTGCAAAAGTGACTTTGCTGGCTTGTGACATTCCCCTCGGGCTGCAGCACTCAGCCTCCCCACTGACAGTGATGGTATGCGTCTCTCCACAGCCAAGTGCCACCAAACCTTAGATTTTTGTCAACTGGATGCACAAGACAGGGTCTCTCAGTGCACTTTCTATTTCTCTTGCTGTGAGTGAAATGAGGGGTCTGTTTTTATCACTCAGGTGTTCTGCTTCGGCTACAGGTTGTGTTAAGGCAACACAGGAAGGTTATTTATGGAAAAAATGGGCTGGCAGTGTAAACTCACACCTAGTAGTTTATTTTAAAGTGGTCCTAGGCTGGGAGCACTCCTAGTCACATGGCAGAAGCAAATACTAATATTTTTGGGAAGAACCCAGAAGTGTCAGGAAAATTCCAGAGGTAAAGTTCCAAGAAATATAAACTCATAGCCAAAAATCATAAATTCACCAGGAAACAAGGCACCATGAGTGAGTCAGCAGAAAAAATAGACAGAAGATGGTACCTTGAGCTGAGTGGCTGTGAGCTGCTGACGGCCAGCCGGATGGCGACTGTACTTGGAGCTGAGCTAGCTGCGCCCTCCACAACTAAGATGGAAGGACAACAATTTAGCTGTTTCCCTTCCCCAATTCCCCTATAAAATATTTAAAAAAACAAAAAATGGACAGAAGAATCCGACCCACTAAGTCTTCAGATGTTGATATTAATTGGAGACTACAAAACAAGTTTAATATGCTTAAAAATTAAAATGGATTGAAAATGTGATGAATGTAAGCTATAAAAATCCAGCAAATTTAAAAAAGCAACACAACTTATGTAACTGAAAATCACAATTATGGAAATTAAAAGTTGAAAAGTTTAACAGCACATTTGATACAGCTGATAACAGTAAACGGAAAAGTAGATCTGAAGAAATTATCCAAACTGTAGCAGACACATAAGGAATGGAAAATACAAAAGAACTGTTAAGAAACACAGAAGACAGAGTGAGACTGGCTAATGTAGATTTAGTTGTTGTTTTCGAAGGAGAAGGAACAGAATGGGTAGACGCAACATCTGAAGAGAGAAAACCCTAGATAAAATGCCAGTGAAGAGTGACCAGGGTGGACAGGTACCCCACCACAGCAGAAAACACAAACTGTCCGCTAACAAACGAGACTGAAAGCTGAGTTCTTGCAGCTGCAATGGAAGCCTTGAGGCAGTGAGATGACAGGGTCTCTGGCCTTGGGGACGACACTGCCGCGCAGTCCTGTATTCCCAGCAAAGCATCTTTCAAGAACAAGAATGTAAAACTCTTCCAGGCAAACAGAATTGAGAACATTTGTTACTACTGACTGTCAAGAAAACTCTAAAGACACTGGGTTGTTGGAAAAGTCATGACGTATTTTTTCTGTTTTTCATTGCTAAATGCATCATGACTTTTCCGACAACTCAATATCTGTTAGGCAGAGGAAAGTGTCCCCATATGGAGGGTCCCAGAGGCAAAGACATGACCGGCAAAGGACGTGGTGACACGGGTCAAGCTACGTAACACTGACCATGGGGAACCACAGCCCCAGCATCTTGTGGGGTCAAGGACAGACTCTAGAGGACAACCCACAACTCTCAGAGTGCATGTGCCACAAGAGGTGCGGTCTGAGTGTCCATGGTCCTTGTCCCGTTAGGGAAGGGAAATGTGTTGATGGATCTTAGACACCCACACGTTAAGTGTTCCCGTTACAATTTTGTGGTGACTACTGAAATAGTCACTAGAGGGAGCCTAAGTTCCCAAATAACAGGATGAGAAGAGCAGTGCTGCCATCGAGATAGGGCACACAGGGACAGAAGACCACCAGACGAGGCACGGAGCGTTTGCAGCACGGACTCGAGGTCCGACAGGGCTCTGAGGAACTCAGCATGTGCTGACGGGACCGGTGGTCACTGTGTGGGAGCTGACACAAATGCTCGCTGCTGCCGCTGCCGCTCCCAAGGGGACCAAGCACTGCACACACCAGCTAAAGAACCTGGGTTTTCACCCCGACAAGTCCTGGTCTCCACATAATAAGCAGTGAGTTTCCTACGAACCTAATGGTGGTAAGCACACTTCCCGCCGTGAGCAGACCAGCGCCAACTCGGTAACCAAGTGCTGCCAGCATGTGCCGGCCAGCTCTACAGTGTGACCCGCGCCCTGTAGACCAGCTCCTGTCCCCATCCTCGGAGTCCCCAACACTGAGACCTGGAAACCAAGCCCAGGTTTTGCAGCAGAAACACAGGCACCTCCTCAGAACTGGGGTTTCATCACTAACATTCTTTACACTGAAGTTGTATATTCCTTGCTTTTCAGAAGAATAATGGAGACATTGAACAAGTAGCTTTTTAGGTAGGGGTGTCGCTACCATCACATCCCAGGACTGACTGGAACAGCCTGCGAGGCGGGGAGCACACATGTGGACAGAACTGGAGCGGCACGTGCTGCCAGGAAAGGAGCCTCTGGTGTGCGGGAGGGGGCGCCCGGGACATGAGCGAGGTCTGAGGAGCACGCACTGGAGTAGTGTTCCCGAAAGCTAGCATTCTTCTCAAGAGCCAAAGACGGGACCCAGGCAGCTGAGGGTGGTCCTTGTCCCACCTGGAAAAGTCCGCCAGGTCTCGCCTCATCTCCAAGGCCCTTCACTTAAGGACTGGGTTGTTTCCTGGAGCATGTGGTAACCATCAACCGTCTACTGCGTGGAACCGCTGGCGTGATGGGGCGCCACCCTCCATATTCCCTCAGCTCCAGGTCTCGATGGCCTCTGTGGCTCAGAGCTGGGGCAGTAGCCTTTGTGCCTGGAGACACCAATGACCCAGCTGCCTCCGGCCAAACCTAGAATCTACAACAGGAGCGGGTGGAGGTGGCATAGGGGTGGGGGCCATGCTCCTGCTGGCTGAGCCAGAACCCTCAGGCTGGGCCAGCCAGCAGGGAAGCACCCTGCTGGCGGTCCCCACTCCACCAGGCCTAGCCCCAAAAGCCCTTACTTTAGCACAACAGCCGGTCTCGCGGTTTGTCTTCTCCGTCGGGGCTCCATGTGCCTCTGGTGGTGCACTCTCTATAGCTACCCTGTGATCATCAATGAGTGGCTCTGCTGTTCCTGCCAGGAAGACGCCAGCCAGGCACCCAAGCTCTGGTGCGGGCCCCCTTCCTGGGAGTGAGGGGGGGCCACCCGATAGCACTCCTTTTTCCAGCACTGCGTGCTCTGCCTGAGGCCCTGGAAGGCAGCCTTCTCAGGCTCTCACTGCGCCCAGTCAGGGTTCTGTGTGGGGGGAGGATGACCCAAAATCTCTTGAAAAGCCATGAGCTCTCAATGTGGCATCCTGCCCAGTCACCCCACCAGAGGCGCCAAGACTTCATAAATCTTGCTGAAACCAAGACACTCACACGCAGCCACTGCTCGTTTCCCTGTCTAGTTCAACAACACAAATGACGGTGAGAGAGACGATTAATGAAAAACCTTTGCTTTACATGCTTATAAATGACATTCGTAGGGTAGCTCCTGCAGAGGAAGCCCGGCAGGTCTGCACATCTCAGGCACCGGAGCATGAGTCAGGGTCGTCCCGGGAATCCGTGTGTCTCTCACTGCTGACAATGGCTACTGGCGTCATCGGCCATTCCCCAGGGGACTGAGACACAGAGGGTAGCAGAGGCCTGGTCCTGAGGTAGCCACACCAGAAGGCAAGGAACAGAGCTGACCACTGACACCATGTCCACAAAAGGCACCTGTCCCACTTCAGGACTGCTCTCAGGCCTGCAGGGTCTGTGTCTTGGTCATCAATGCTGTTTATTTCTTTTCTTGGTGCTTTTAAATCCTCGTGCTGCACCTTGACCAAAACAGATGGTCGAAGGTATCCTGAAATGGAAAAAACCGTCATACTATAGTGGATCATACCCCTTGCAATAAGCAGCCAGCTCATCAGCAGCCTTGTGTGTTTGCTTCGTGCTCTGGAATGCTTCCTTCCCCACTCTGTGGAACATTCCGGACAGTAGCTCTTCTTCTGTGAAGACTCTGCTCCCTTCTGCAGCTGGCAGGCCGCCTCTGACCTGCTTCCTGTGGGAGACTGGCCGGGACAGCAATGCTTGGAGAACTTGGCACCGAGGCTGGCTCCAGCCAAGCTCCCAACCCTGATGTCCTGTCACCCTCCACGCAGACACCCTGACTGCCCACCGGCATTGGGACTCACTCACAGGCCAAAGTCCAGGCAGCTGCATGACGACAGCTAAGGGACGCAAGTCCTTCTTCCTGTCAGTTTGGATTCATTAGCGATTTTTTTTCATTTGTCCAATATTTTTCCTCAAATTAGATTTGAAATCAAGTGTATCGCAATAACAGAAAAGTTAAGACCAGAAAGAGACTCGCAGGTTAACTGAAGCCGTTACAACCGAGGTTCTCTCTACCCAGTTTAGGGGAAAGGGGGCCGCGCTTCGCATGCCTGAACTGCAGTGTCCGAGAGCAGAGTCTGCAGGAGAAACTGCCCCAGACAATGGGGAAAGGCAGTCTGCCCGCACTCGGGGCAGGGCCAGCGTGCTCGCTGGCCACTCACACCCAGTATTCTCTCCATAAAGCAAATGTTCAGACCTTGCTTCAGAGACTCCAGCTACTGACCTGTGGCCGAGGGTCCGCCTCTCACCCCTGGGTTCTAGGGGGGTCGCCATGTGTTCAGAGCAGACTTCCATGTCATCCCCTTCTGACTGCTGGCCGCCCTCTGGCAGGGTTTCTGCCGGCTCCGGCAAGGCAGCGGCAGGCAGGCCTGGGCTGTGGGAGGCAGAGGGTGAGCAGTGGCCCCGCCTGCCCCCAGAAATGAACTCTCTAGGAAAAGACTATTTTTTCTTGCAAAAGTGTTTCATAACTATTTCGGGATAGTGTAATTTTCAGGCTATCAGGACAAGGAGAAGGATTACAGCAAGGTTGTCAGTAAATGTTTATATGATAAATGCCACACATTGTCAATTTAGGTATAACAATTACATTTTTTTTGTTTTTATTTTATTGGGGAACAGTGTGTTTTTCCAGGGCCCATCAGCTCCAAGTTGAGTAGTTGTCTTCAATCTAGTTGTGGAGAGCGCAACTCACTGGCCCATGTGGGGATAGAACTAGCAGTCTTGGTGTTATGAGCACTGTGCTCTAACCAACTGAGCTAACCGGTCACCCCACACTTTGTTTTTTAAAAATAGTATTTTAGGTGGGGTGGTGGCTCCCTACTATGAAAGTCTCAACCTAGCATTACGGGGTGTGTCTTCTTAAAATGATCCCTCAGAAAGGAGTGCATTCCCTTATACTCAAGACCTTACAACAATGTCCCACATTGCAGAGGGCTCTCGCAATTATCTTACTTTAAAAAGCAAAGTCCTGTTTGGGGAAAACAAGTTAATTTGAAAAAACTTTAATTAATGTATTTTTTAGATAGTTATAAAAGTTCACCTGAGAGAATCAGTTAAAAAAGGAGGCAAAGAAATATAACACAAATTTAAGAATTATTCCTGGAGGCATTTCCCCACAGTGCATGCTGAACAATAATGTGTAAACAAATGGCTTTGTGTCACATTAGTCAACATACCAACAGGACAAATGAAAAACCAGAGGGCCCTACAATGGCGGGGGCCGGGGGGCAGGGGGAGGGCTGGGGCAGATTCCCAAAGGCCCACATCAGCACGTGATGTGGGAGCAGAGCTGATATGTGGGTGCAGCTGAGGTACAACCTCGTGACGTTCCTAATTGTGCCAGGGAAGACACAGATGGCACCCCAGTCTTTCGCAGCCAGGCTCTCCCCTTCCTGTTCTCCTGCCAGCAGGGGTGGCCACGCAAAACCTGCCTCTATTTGTTTAACCCATTTTCGTTAACAGCCTCCAATCTGTCAGGGTTTCCGTTACCTGCAGCCAAATATGATATTAAGTAACACTAATGCTGAACTAAGGTGTCTATATCCTTGAAGTCTATATACTCAGCTCTTCTAAATTCAGTGGGTGGCTACACGTACCCCCTGCTTTTCTTTGGTTTATCAAAGCGGAAGTCTGCAGGGTAGAGGTGACGTCTCACCAGGTGATCCTTCCTGTCTTTGCTGGTCTTGAACTTCTCTGTGCAGCCTTCCACCAGGCACTGATACTAAAACAGAAATGGTGTCATCTGCATCCTGGACCCTGGAATACTCCTCCCACACCTGGATGGGCAGAGGGCTGGGGCCCAGGGGAGGGGAAGGTGCCCCTGGCCTTGCCCCCGACCCCGAGAGCGGGAAGCTCTGACCCCCCAGGCAGATGGCTTCAGTCCAAGCCCCACAGGACAACTGCCTCACCCACCATGTCTTGCCTCTCAGACAGGATCTGGAACAAGGAGTCGTGCCACTCCAGGATGTGGATGTCCAGCAGGTGTCCCGAGGGGAAGGCCCTCTTGCAAAAGGAGCACACATTTCTGTGCAGAGTGTGGTAGTGGTGCTCATAGGCCTCCAGGACGTCGAACACCTGGCAGCAGCCCGCCACCTGACAGGTGAACTCGGGCACCCTGGCAAAGCAAACGACTGCTGACAAAGAACACTAGGTTCCCTGTCCATAGCTTCCCTTTAAGTGGCTTTATAAAGTTCTGGATGTTTCTCTTGCAATCTCAGATCTTACTTTTTTAAGAATTAAATTTTCAGAGGCCAGCTAGGATGTGGGGGTGGGGCAATCATGTAAGGCTTGGACGGTGGTCCAGGCAGAGGGCGCGGTGGCAGGTCACCAGGGAAGGGCAAGCTTGAAGGAGGGGCGGCCGGCCCGGAAAAGGGGCGAGGTGGGGGACGAAGTGGGGGGGCGCTAGGCCCAGAGCTGCTCACCTGGGCCTCTCGGGCGCCCAGGCCACCTGCGTGAGCACATCCTGGAGGTAGAGGTGCCGCTGCACGTCCCCGTCCTGCAGGACACACGTGCCATGGACCCACAACTACAGGCCCCGCGCACCGGGACCCCGGCCCGCACACCCTTAGCCCCGCCCCGCAGCTACAGCCCCGCCAATACCCGCCCCCCCAAGGCTGTAGGCCCCGCCCTCGACAACTGCCCTCCCCGTCCTGGGCTCACGCACCTCGAAGAACTCGTGCTCCCGCGGGAAGCGCACCCGACGCGCCGCAAAGCGGAAGGGGGCGGCCCCGGCCGAGGGGTCCCGCTCCACGGGGAGCGGCTCACTTGCCCCGGGCCCCGCCAACAGGCGGGCGTGCAGCGCGGGCGGCAGCTGCATCCCGGCGCGCCGGCGAAGCCGCGGGCTGCCGGAACCGGACGTGACGTAGCAGCACTTCCGCTGCCGTCACGCGCTGCGCCGCGGCTGTCGGCGGGTCGGGCTGAGGCTGCTGCGGTGAGTGCGGGCTGGGCGTCCGCGACCCTGGGGGCTGCGGGGCCCTTCCTGCGCCCCGACGCCCAGCCCGCGCCCTGGCGCGTCGTGCGGCCGCGGTTCAGGCCCCAAGCGGGACCTCCGTGTCCTTCCCAAACTCTCGTGGCGCGGCCCCCTCGCCCACACCGCCCTCGTCTCCCGCCGGGCGGCTCCGGTGGCTCGTCCTCGGCTCCAGACCAGCCGCCAGCTGGAGCCAAAGCGGCCTTCGGAAAACTCGCGTTTCGTTTAACCCGTCTTCGCTTCAAGGCCTTCGGTGGCTTCCCGCGACCTCCGTGCAGCGGCCCTCCCCGGCCTATCGGGCCCGCGTGTGCCGCCTGCCTCCTCCATCCCGGGACCCTGAGAGGCCCAGGGCGCTGCGCCGGGTGCTCCGGTGCACGGCGCGGAAATCGGGAGGTCCCCGCCGCCCGGAGGGACGGGCGTGCGCCCGGCGGGGCAGCCACTTGACTAACGCGGCGATGGTTGGCACGGAGGGAGCCCGGGAGGCGTGAGCCTCGCTGTGGAGGGTGGGCCCGGAGGCTCAGAGCCGGGCTGTCCCCGCGTCCCCCAGAGCGCTCGGCGCTGAGCGGGCCACGTTCCGGCTCGTGCGATGGCAAGGAAAAGGCGGTGCTGTTCCTTTAAGAAGTTAAACTACAGTAAAAAATACAAGTAGAATTTAATACGTTTGGTCACGTCGTTCTGGAAGTGAAGGATGTGTGGGGCTGTGTCCCCAACCATTATGTTCGTGTCCAAGAGGAGGTCTGGACAGACCAAGACTGTTTTCACCTCTTTGCTTTTCTGTCTCTGAAAAAGCCTCCGAGCCCTTGACATTTTTCCCAAGTTTAAAAATTTTTAAATCCAATTTGTGCAATTAGCTTTGCGCTCTCAGCAAAGACTCTGTCACTTCCTTCTGTGTGCCCGACTCCTTCACAGGGAAGTGGGACGTAGGTGTGAGGCCCCCCACACACACACACACACTCAGTGTGAGGCGAGCTAAGTCCTGCGCTGGTGGAGTCTGTTGGTCCATTTGTGGCAACTAGTAGAACTCAGGAGCACCAACAAGGACGAGAGAGCTGTTACAATGAAATGTTCTTTCAAGTTGTTTTCAGTGGGAACGCTGCTGGCATCTTTGGTGGGACGCTTCTGTTGGCGTTTGGCTTCCCCAGCCTCCTGCCCACTAAATTCCAGGGCCCCCTCCAGGCACTGTGACAACCAGGAGTTACCGGTGCACATTGCCCGCGGCCCCCAAGGGAGGCACTGCCCGCCAGTGAGAGCCACGCTCTTGCAGGTATCGTTCCCGAATCCACAGGGGACAGCAGGTCCTTGTGGTGTTAACACTTGTGATGTGGGGTGTCTGCTTTTCTACGACAACTGTAAAGTATTACGAAGATAGTTTTCAAATAAACTCACGTGATCTATCTTCAGAAGGGCTCTCTCCACCTACTCGTATCTGGGGGAGCGGTGTTTTCTTTTGGAGGTAAATGCAGTGTCCTTGCTACTTGTGTGACCAACTGATCCTCTGTCCAGCCATTGCAGGACAACCTGCAGTCCTTGGGAAACCTCCTAGGATATGGGGAAAACCGGTTGGTTGCCCTTGGATTTGAAGGGGCTGTCGGTGGGAAAGTTCTGTGTTGTCTTTCTGCTTTGCTGATGGTTTGCAGAGCTTCGTTCAGGGCCCTCTGTGACTGATAATACGGTAACAAGTGGTGTAGGGTGCCGTCATGAGGCAGATCGTTTTCCTTCTGTAAAAGCAGCATTTCACAGGTAATAGACAATGAACGTCTCCAGGTGGTTGGCCCTTTGTAGCAACAGCGACCACGTCTGACCTGCACTCCTAGTGACAGCGCAGCAGCGTTCTGTGTGCAGGCTTTGTAAGAATGGTGGTGTGTGCTCTCCACGGCAGCTCTGTGGTGGGACTTACTACTCAACCCTCTTTGGGGAGCTTAGAGAGGGCCAGCCACCTGGCCCCTGCTGCACCTCATCCTGTAATTGCAGCTGCCGTCAGTGCCTCCTGCGAAAACTATGTGTGCCCAAGATGCACACAGGCTCCTGCCTCCCGTTCTGCCTTCCCGTGTGGAGACGCCCTGCCTCTGGCCAGCATGTGGCATTTCTGTACCATGAACTGTGATGTTCACGTTCAGAGAGCTTGTTTTCCACCCACAAGATTGGGGTGTGTGCTGCGTCTTCTCCACTTGATGTTTTGCTTAACGCATGGCTTGTCTTCACTGGAGCTGTTAGCACAGGGGTTCATCACCTTTTTTGGGGTCCCAGAGCCTTTGAGATTCTGTTTAAAGACACCCAGGAAATTCACAAATGCTTTTGCCTATGGTTCCACAGGTTCTTTTGTTATTCGTGGATCCCAAATGAATAAGCATGTGTGGGTACACTGAAATGTGTATGTGAAGTGGGTGCAGTTTGCTCGTGTTTACTTTTTGACCCATGTGCGCCTATCTACTCCCCGTTTATCCAGCTGTTGCCGACACTGGCTAACCTGACCAGTCATCAGTGGGAAAGCAGAAGCCTGTGCAGGCCACTGCTGTCCGCTTGGGGGCATCAGTGTAGAAGTCCCCTGCAGCCTACTGCTGCCTGCTTGGTGGCATCTCAGTTGTGGCTTTGACTCCAGAGGGTTATGTTTGTAATGGTGAAACCCTAGGACACGCGGTCAGCAGGGCTGACTGAGCTGAAGTGGAACCCCAGCCAACTCATATGCATCGGAAACATATAGCAGTTTTACCCAAAGCATCTGCATATATAGCCAGTGTTAGGCAAGAAAAGGAAATGTGCTAGGTACCAGAGTGCAGAGAGGACGCAAAAAAAGAGGGTGCATGGACCTGCAGCAGAACAGCAGGGTCTGAGAACCAGGTGTGGGCCTGATGGGCTGGAGCTGGGGTCTTAACATCTGTGGTGGGATAGGGACAGTGGCTTAGGCCTGTGCAGAGCTCCCTGCACAGGCCCAGGACCCTGAAGGGGCAGGACCACTGTGTCTGCATAGCTGGGACTGGAGAGCGCTGTCTGCTGGCTGAGGGCGGTGGCTCCCCGCAGCCCCATTACCCAGGATGAGGAGTCCACACACTCTGCACCCGCGGCCCCCCGAGCTGAGGCAGGGGCCTGGGAACTGGCCGGAGCGAAGGAGACTGAGGGTTCCTAAAGGGAGCATGCCCACTGAAGAGGGTTCCCAGCAGGAAATGACACGCCATACCAGTGAGCGCCACCTGGAGGGAGCAAGCCCTCCGAGGAGACAGTCGGCAAGAGGCCCTTTCCGTGGCATCCAGGAGGCGGGGTCCTGCGGCCCCCAGAATAATCCAGTTTCTCAAAGACCTGACATTGGCCAACTTTGATTCCTTTAAGCATTTTTTATTTATAGGGTTTTGTTTTTATAAACGGCTTTTCTCTAACCTTTAGGAGAACACAGTGTGATGTCTTAGAGCCGAGACAATGAGTGAGTTTCGCATTCACCATGACGTCAACGAGCTGCTCAGCCTGCTCCATGTCCATGGAGGGGATGGGGCCGAGGTTTACATCGACCTGCTGCAGAAGAACAGGACCCCGTATGTCACCACCACCGTGTCAGCACACAGTGCCAAGGTGAGAGCCCTGCCCTGGTGGCGCGCTTTGCACAGAGTTCACCTTCCTGACCGGTGGCCACGGCGGTGCCTGTGATGGTGTCAGACAGTGCTTGCCGGGTGCTGTCCATGGGCCACATGCTCCGCTCAGCGCAGTGGCTTGGGCTCCTCGTGGCCCCTCTGTGCGTCAGCCCTGTACGACGAGTGAATGGGGCTCGGGGAGCCCTGGCCATCGGCCCGACCTCAGAGCCCAGACTCATCACCACACGTCTCTGATAGCTGTTCACATTGTGACACAGATGTCCCTTTGGATGAGAAAGGAAGCTCCTGGCATTAACCGCATTAATCCCTTTGAAGTGGATTTTTTTCTTTATTTAAAAAATATGTAATTCAAAATTATAGATATGCAAAAAAAGCAGTTGTAGGATCTATTTTAAAAACGATTTGTGAAGTTTCAGTTATTTAAACCGTTCCATTCCATAACGGCATGAGCATGACTAGAAAGTCGCTGAGCAGAACGGGTTAGGAACACAGTTGTGTTTCACCTGTTGTAAGGGGAGCATTATGAATCAGTGAGCAGATGGGACCCTGAGCCTGTGCACACTGATAAATCCCAGAGGGAAAAGGGTGAAATAAATGCATAAACTACTAGGAAAAACATAAGTGGTTATTATGTGACCTGCGACTTAGGAAGTGCGGGCTGAGAGAGGCCATGTGGTTTACGTGAAACATGAGGGAAAGGCGTCTGATGAGTCTTTTCCATTTTTTCTCAGAGATAGATGCTAATTTAATTTAGCGTCCTAGACTTCACTCTATTTCGGGTTTTGTGTTCAATTTTCTGGGATATGTTTTTAACGTTCTATACTGTTGTCACTAAATCACCTGTGTTTGTGCTTTTGAGGTTAAAATCGCAGAGTTTTCTCGTACTCCAGAAGACTTTCTAAAGAAATACGATGAACTGAAATCTAAGAACACGAGGAACCTTGACCCACTGGTGTACCTGCTGTCAAAGCTGACGGAAGACAGGGAGGTGAGTGCTGTCGCACCCGGTGTCGGGAGCTCCTTGCAGTTGTTCTGACAGGTGTGGCACAGTACAGGGGGCACCTCCAGGTCTGCTCTCACTGGTGCCGCTTCCCGGCACTGCCACGTTTCTGACCCCGTAGCACCGCTCTTGGGGACGCATTCCCTTCCTCATACCAGCACATAGGCCAGCACATAGAGATGGATTTACGGTGCGTCAGCGTGAGACTAATGGTGACAAATATGAGAGGTATTAACAGTATCTGTGAGGGTGCTGTACTTTTTGTTGGCTCATGCCATGCTTTCTGTCTGTTTTAAGGGTGCACACGATACGTGTGACACTGAGGAAAGCAGC